GCAGGGACGTGCTCTGGGATTCCTATCATTTTTTGTGTTAATGATTTGTGACAAAAATTCTTGTGCGTTTGGGAAGAAGAAGGTATTCGAAGATTTTACGGAATGCATTTTGCCAAAATTTAGAGCGAGAGAGGATGAACTCATCAATGGAAAGAACCTCAAACCCGACGATTCAAAAGAAACACGGAAACCATCAACGAACGGACCTGCGAGAGGGTTTATTGACGGTTTGATGGCACATAATGATATCAGCGATAAGTTTCCCGAAGTATCTTTGAAAAAGTTCTTGATTGGTTTGGGGTTGATTGACTATAGTCAGGGAGGATTACATTGATTTCCATGTAGAAGGCATTCGCTAATTATAGAATTAAATGTTTTGCTTTTTTTGTGAAAGTGTTTTCCATAAATTTATTTTTCACGTGATTCACATGCAAGTATAATTTTAAGGGTAAGGCGAGTTTAAGGTTAAAATCGCGAAAAAATCAACTTTTAGAACTATTCAATGTATTGATATGCTTGAGTAATTTGACAAATAGTACTGTCTAACTCGAAAGTCACCATTTTTTCGTATCATAAAGCACTAATTCCCTCGAATAGTGTCAAGAAACAAAATCATCACACCTAACAGTCATCAACATTTCTTATTAAAATACCATGCAGCTTTACGTCATCTTCATCAGGTGAAATCCAATATTTGTTATGCATTCTGTGTGTTGGGAGTTCAACTGAAATCTCTGAATTCACCAAATTTTGAAATAGTATCTCAAATTTGGTACCATTATGAGCAAATTTTTTTGCATACGAAGAGGCAACCTTAATGTCAGGCGTGGTGTAAATTCCATGGCTAAAGCCGAGATTATGATACCTCCTACTTGCTATGTATCCATCATCTGCGATTGAGCGATGATGATATCTTTCTGTTCCATGATATGAAATCTTCCATTTTCTTTTTCCTTTATTATCTTGGATTTCAACCTCTTGCTCTTCAGACCAATCATTTGCAACATTCAGGTTGTTTTGTGCATAGGACGATAGCGGCGCAATCTTCTTCCATCCACAACGATCATTATGTTTTCCCTTGTCGAAGTATATATGTTTCTCGAAGTCAGGATTGATGAATTTAATGGTCTCAAAATCATCTTTTGACTGGATTTCCAAATGTATTATGCTGTTGGCATTGATATTATATAGTCCGAGATATTTCTCATTCAGTAACCTTTGTCCATTAAATACAAGACGCTGAATGCGAGGCGCAGCACCAAGAATATCTTTAATTTTTTTCTTTAGTTCGTAAACAGAGTTTCCACTGGTTACATTTTTTATGAGCAGTTCTTGATTTGTTAAGGTGTGTACTTTAACTTCAAATGATGATGATTGGTTAAATAATGAATTGTTCTCGACACGAGTCGCCACCGGCCCACCAACCAGACGTGACTTGTATAATACGTTGAAATCAAGTTGTTCGTATACCCGTATGTCTGCTTGATCGCGTTCCAAGTAATTATAATAGGTCAATACCTGAGAATTTGTCATGGCAGATACGGCCGAAGCAATCAGAGAGACTGCGTCGTAAGAAATTTTTTTGGAGGGTTCTTTGGTCGTAGGTGGAGTAGGTAATTTAGGGGTTCCCTCATACTCCTTGTATTGCGACCATTGTTCTATTCCCACAGATACCAGCCCCAGGAATGATAAACATATTGTAATGCATATTAACAACAATATCTTACTCTCATTCATTTTCTTATATACAGAAAGTTCATCCGCTCTGAAACTAAATCCACGTATCGGAACAAGCAAAGAATCTGTTTTAAAAAGGTGTATTTATACATGCGCACTTGACATGCCAACATGGGATACATAGTCTATCACCACCAAATCGAGAACTTTGACGATTCCTGAATTAAAAATTGTCTCAATCTGGATTCCACTTTTTTTTTGCTACGCACACAACCAATAAAATATACACTTTCTTATTCACACATTTAATTTTCACCCAAGCAACATCTGTGACGAGACGATCCTAACATTAGAGAGCTGATCCTG